GCCCGAAATGAGAGGTACGCACGGCGTTCCAAAGGGGAGTGCCCCTGGAAGGTTGGGGACCTGGCCTGGCTCCATTGCCCGCAGGTGCGGCCGGGTACCTCTCCCAAATTTCACAAACCTTGGCGAGGGCCTGTCCGCCTCATTGAGGTTCCTAATCCTCAGTCGGCGCGTGTTCAAATTGGTTCTCGCCGCTGGTTTGTTCACACGTCGCGCTTGAAACCGTATGTTGCTCCCCTACATGATGCATCATCTCCCAATGTTGCCTTGCCGGGGTCTGTTGCTGCCGACTCTCCCCCGCCTGCGTCCATTGATCTTGCTAGAGCGCCTGTCGTACCTGTTCCAGGCAGGCCGGCCTTGACACCGGAGGGGACGAGGCGCTCTGCTCGGAGGGTGCCTGCCAGATCTGCGGGTCCTTCGAGCCCTGCAGCCCTTCCGACCCCGCTGCAGACGCATCCGCGGGACAAGCCCAAGACTGATCCTTCAAGGACACGGGACGTTGGTGGACTTCCAACAGCGACAGGGGGATTTCACCCTGTCGCTCCTCAAACTCAATCACGTTCCCGTTCCGCGGATGGGCCGCCGACCGTCCGGGACGGGCCGGCGACCCGCACACGCTCTAAATCCCTTGTGTTTCGTTGATTGTTATGTTGTATTGTTCTTACTGTGTATTTATTGCCTGCTTCTGCTACGTTATTGATTGTTGAGTTGTGTTGATTGTTCTTACTGTTATATTGCATGCTTGGTGTCCTTTGGTGTGTTACGCTCGGGTTCGCCCGCATTACTGTTGGTGTTGTTCAGCCGAGGTCGGCTGGGTTTTTCTCCACGGGGGAGGGTGGTGTAATGCGGGCGCGGGCGACCTCCCGGATGTGACGTCACGGAGAGGTGGAGTTAGGTGACGTGGGAGGAAAGGTTAAGGTTCTTAAGGGAGGAGACCGGAAGAGGAAGGCAGAACGAGTGGGACTGGACCAGAGTAAGGCCACGTGGGCAAAGCCAAGGGGTGGCAGCGGCGGCCAGCGGTGGCCAGCTAAGGGAGCAGCCAGCGGAGCTGCGAGAGAAGACAGCGGTGGGGCGGCTGGAGAGAAGGCGGACGAGGAGCTGCGGGGAACACAGCCGGCGAGGCTGTGTGTGAGGGAGAGGCTACGAGAGCGACGAGAGGAGAGAGAGGCTGAGAGAACGACGAGGGGAGAAACTGCAGGAGAGCAGTATCAGTGTCAGTATAGAGTCTTATAGAAGGACAGCCGTGCGGGTTAAGAGAGAAGAACCGAATAAAGGACACCAAGCCAGACATCGTGGTCGAGTCCTTTATTACAATTGCAAGGCCCGCAGGCCACTGGCCGCCCCTGTTGGCCTTTAGTGCACCCCCTGATGTGTGGCCCCCGACAATACACAACGAGTGACAACACACCCATCATCATCATCGGTCCTGCTGCCGTCAAACCCCCAATGATGACGTCTTATCGGCGAAAGTGGCCACCCCCTCTGCAAATTTATGAAGAACACTGCCATGGGCTAATAAAGGCTTTGGGCCCTCATTCAATATTGAAGAAGCAGCTGGGTGACGAGCACGGTGGGTCAGAAATATTTTGTCTTTCAATTGCGACGACGTCATTCTTGACTTTGCAGCAAAGAATTGTCAGTGAAGAAACACGGTCTCAGTGAGTTAATGATGTTTGGTGAACTTACCTTGAGTCGAATTAATGTGTTTATTTTACATCGGTAAATCAATGAATATGTTTAATTACTTCAATTGTTTTTGCAATATGTAATACCGTACGAGATTAGGCTCTTGCCTCCTTATTTGCCTTACGACCTCATGCGATGAATCTGGTCGTGGTTGTACTGTACTTATCTGCTTTGATTTGGATTAATACATCGTTTGTGCATGTATTACTCTGTAGCTCAGTTTTCAGTTAATTAAAGATTTGGTGAAGCTGATGATATCTGGTTGCTGAGGCACCATGTTTATCTATGACCCCAAACAAATCCAAACACCGCCTTAAAAAAAACTAGCATACACATCTTTTACTTGATATGACCCATGGCAACGCATAATGAGTTTATGTACAATATTACTTATGCCATTGAACAGGGACTCAGATTTTATAGGAGCGCTCTTGCGAATAAGATCTGATAAACAAACATGCGTTTAGCAAGCCTGGCTCTGCGGATGAGACGCAGAAGGTGAAAACCGGTTTGCTTGCTTAAACAAGTGCTACTTGATAACGATGGTCTAAAAAGCAAACAGGCCGATGGACTAAAAACACATTCCTGCGGAGGGAGCTGGTAGGAACGTTGGGTTGCTCGGTCAATGGCCAGGGTCAACGGCGGCGTGGTGTATTCCGCAAATATGCACGACTGTGAGGGCGGGCACAAGCCGGCGTGAGTAGGTTAAACGTTGAGTTTTATAAGGGCACCACGGGGTGACCAGCCCCTCCCCCACCCAGCCCCACCCCTCCCACCCCCCACCCAGCTCCACCCTCCACACCCAGCCCCTCCCCACACTCTCCACCCAGCCCCTCCCCACCCAGCCCCACCCTACCCACCCAGCCCCTCCCCACCCAGCCCTTCCCTGCACGACGGACACAATAATCCCCTTGTGGGTTGGTGTAACCAGGAGGTTCCTACCAGTAACATATTTGTATTCATATGTGGAGGCTGGGAATGAGCTTTGGATTTAAAACATTCGCTTCTGCGCTCTTGCGCAAAGTGGGGGGGATATTACACACAATAGACAGGAAGGAGAAGATCAAAAGGCTCGCATAATGCACGTGCATAATGTACGTTGACTCAGTAATCTCCCCCCCCCCCCTCACACACTTTGCGCAAGAAGCGTGATCACCACATCTACGCCTCGATATAAGGAACGAAACAGTTAGACTTCTTCACAAATCTGTCTGTCGCCTGATCAAGCTAGTTGTAATTGCTGGCGAAACGTAGTACTCAGATTGTAAATGTTGTGGCTTGGCTCTCCAACACACCGGTGTTGCTGTACTAGTTACGAATTGGCCACGTTCTGTTTACGTGACAACCCTTACTAGTTGGCTGTATCAGGTGGTGGCGGGTTTTAACCACACCTTTATATATTTGCGCGATCTAGCCCGAATAAACCTCTATTATTAAGAACGAAGCGTGCATCCGAGGCAGCCTAGCGGTCGTGTAAACGCAGGCGCCACCGCCCGCAATCGGCGTGGACAAGAGGTCACAAAGGCGCCGCTCCCAGTGCCGCTGCGGGTGTGTTGTCATTACGGTGGGAATGAGGGACAACCCTTTTCTCCTTAAGCGAGGGCAGCATACGACTTTTCAAGATGCCGTTGGCGTGCGGCCACACGAGGACAAGGCTCCACGGCGTCATCCAATAATTGCGCAAAAAGAGGGCCCTTGGAAGTGACAGAAGCGACCGCGAGAGACAGAATTACGAACGCAGTGTTTGTTGGCCAAGTCGAATAACAAAAAATAATCCTCCTCCGGTACCCGATTAGCACGGCCAAGGTGTTTGGCGGCGGCGACGGAACAAAAAATATTCTCAGGTTTTTTCGGTAAAGTCACGTAGGTAAAACATTAAAATTAATAAAAGTAAAATAAAATAAAAATCACGACGTTTCGGAGGCAACACAAGCTTCCGTCTTCAGGTGAAACCGTCACAGCCCGACAGCTGTTTCAAGTAAATGAGAGATTACAGGAGATACCACTCCGTATATATAATGGTTGAGGGGGGGGGAGGGCCAGGAATGGCCCACTTTTTATTATTATGGTAAGGTGCGGTTTGAGACTATGAATAGACTGCATAACAAAAGACTGAGCCTTTATTATGGCAGAGGTTCGGTTTGTGACTACGCCTAGCCTACATAACAAAAGTGTGAAAAAAGAAAGCTAAACCTGGTAGAAAAAACCTAAGAAATGAATCCTTGCAGTCACGAAAGCTTCAAATCTGGAAAAAAAATGTTGAATTTGTGTTGCTCATGGGGCCTATTAGGCCACACCTCGCCACGCTGGTTGGATGCGGCTTGCCAAAGGCGGAGAGCCATAGAAGGAGAGTCCAACCACCGATTTTGCCGCACTGCCCTGTGATGGCCACCACGTTAGCCCCACGGTGGCTTGCAAGATCCTGTGGTGTGCGCAGTGAATCAGCATCGCCGTGCGATGGTGGCTACGCTGCAGCATGGCCTGGAGTCCAGCGCTGGAGGCAGCGAGGGTTTGTGGATCGCACGAATGTTGCAGAACTCCTTTCCCATGGGCGTCGAGGAGGTGCCAGTATCGTGGCTCGCCGGGAGAATATGGGATGGAGTGTTGCCCACTCGTGCATGTCGAGTTTTTTTCCGGGCGCTCCGGTACCCTCGCACTTGTATAAACAATCATTCGTTGGCTGAAAACATCTTTAAAAATAGAGGACTCCAAAGCTTTGGCAATTGTTGGCATTGGCTCATAGTCTGGCTGGCTTTCAGCCTGTTCGTGGTTTCTTCGTGATTGTGAGATGCAATTTGCACGAACGACGCTATGTACAAGTAAACATTAAACGTAAATACAAGCACCATCCAGGCCCAATCTCTGCTTTGCTTCTAAGTTATGATCAAATCGGACACATTTATGATGATTTGGTCAGGGATTAATCAGCGGTATGTGGGCACTGATGAAATGAGCAACTGGAAAAGTTCATTATCTGTGCCAACAACATTCATTGGGCATTGCCTCGGCATAACGCCATTCATCAGGGATTCGCTCGCCATACATTATTCTTAGAGGCGTTGTTCAAATGTTCATTTCACTAAGAGCTCAAATTATGCCACTAATGAGAAAACATAACCCTTAAAATAAGCACTTAGGCGTGAAAATAATATTTTAATAACCAATGCCTGTCTGGCAATAGCATAAATTCTATATGACCGCCGCTGTAACGACAGCAAAATAATAATAATAGCGAGTGTGTGATGTTTCTCATTTCTGTTGCAAAGTAGATTGTTTTAGTCCTGGGTGTTATGTATTTTTTTCTTATTTCCCCGCAGCGCTGCTTTCGAAACCAAACAGCGTTGCCGACGGGCGCACTCAAACGCACGTGACATTGACGCAGTGAGCAGCTGCAAGTCCTTCCTGTGGGAGTCCGACGCGCGTGACCCGGCATCAGCCCTCGCAGCAGGAGCAGCCTGGAGCTAGCAAGGCGACTCCGATGACGGCGGCGCTACAACTGCCTTTGGTGTGTTTCGATTTAAAGCTTTCGTGACTGCAGGGATTCATTTTCTTGGTTCTTTCGGTAAAGTCACGTAGAAGGGATGTAATAAAATAATAAAAATAAAACATAATTAAATAAATATGCGAAATTCCTCTTGATATGCAAATTATTTTGTCAAGACGCCCTTTCCCCCCCACCTTTCCAACGCAGCTTATATATATATATGCTCCAAGCACGTGTGCTGTTTCATTCAGACGCTGTCGCCTCGACAGACCTGTTCTCCACCTGAAGACGGCTGCTTGCGTTGTGGCCGAAACGTCGTGAGAATTATTTTATTATGTTTTATTTTTATTATTTTATTACATCCCTTCTACGTGACTTTACCGAAAGAACCAAGAAGAAGATGCCTTTGGTGTGTCACCACCCACACACCGATCATCATCAGCAGCAGCCATGGTTCGATCCCGACCGCTGACCACGCCTGTATATTTGGAGTCTGCGCTTCTCTCTCTCGCCATGGCTGTGTGGATCTTACTCCGGGTTCTACCGGTTTCCCCTCCACATTTAGAAACACGCGTTAAGAGTATTTGGCTGCTAGAGGTTTCCACGCGACAAGCCACCTCGTTGAGCTATCATTTGTGGCCAGGTTGTTTCTGGAAAAAAGCTCAATAGCTCAGTGGGCCTTACCTGGTAAAATAAAAATTCAAATAGTTTAGTTTTAGTTTCAATTCACTCCTGGGTGAAGACCTTCCCACGCTGTGTCGGTCGTGGGAGTTTGTTCGACGATACTTCACTACGCTGGTCAGCAGCTCAAGCTGACGGAAGGGAGTGTGTATGCATGTATGTTGAACTTCTTTCGCACCGTACGTAGCTAACAACCACGCTCATCGGAAGTGCGAGGGAAGGACAACAAATAACAAAAAAGCAGTTCTAATGATATGAGTGAGGTGAGGGAGGACGCAGGCCCGGTTAAGGCATCATTCACCACCGATGCTCACCGTGGCTGGGAATCGAAAATTGGGTGACCGGGCTCATAGCGCAGCACACTAAATACTGTGCCACTAGTTCACCCCATTTTATAAAATTAGTAGGACGAATCTGACAACTAGTAGTCTTCTCCAAGGGGAGTTTGCATCAATTGACCTCCACGTGTCCACTCCAAACCGCCGTAAATGCGATTCGGACAACAAGTTGTGGTCGTTGACATTTGCACCGCAAGCGGCGTAACATCGCTCTCGCTCAGCTCATCTCCCTCCTCCATTTCCTTCCTCCACCTACCACCTCCTCATCCACCCCTCATCATCGTCCCTCCTCCATCTCCCTCCCACCTGCAGAGGGGGCCAAAGAAGAATGCCCCCCCACCGCCCGCGCCCCATGCGCCACTTCGTTACGGCGCTGACGTCCGTTTTGCTTCTCCTCCTCCTCCGCTGGCAATACTCACGGGTGAACGGCGCTCTGAACGAGGGAGTGCGAGCGCCTCATTACTGACCGTGGGGAGTGCGGAGGAGGAGGGGGGGGGGCGCCCCCTGCCCCACCCTTTTACAAACTCCCCCCGCCATACTCTTTGGTTATTTCGGTAAAGTCACGTGGGTAGAAAAATAATAGATCACGACGTTTCGATCGCAACACAAGCAATTGTAATCCGGTGGGAAAGCCACAGCAAGCATGTTTTTCTTGCTGTGGTTGTCCCACCTGATGACGATTGCTTGTGTTGCGGTCGAAACGTCGTGATCTATTATTTTTCTACCCACGTGACTTTACCGATAGAACCAACGAGTGTGGATTCCTGCAGTCACGAAAGCTTCAAATCAAGATTCCCCCCCGCCACCCCCACGTAGCGCCGCACGCAGCGTGAACGGTGACGAGTTCGTGCGCTCGCTTCGCGGACCAGCCCTGCGCAGGCGGCGTGAGCGGTGCAAGGCGAGAGAGAGAAGAACAGGGGCGGATTCTTCATTAGGGCGATTGGGCGACGCACCACCAAAGTGTGAAAGGGACTTTTTCAATCACATTAACAATCTCATTCAACCACAGAGTTACGCTAGCCGTCACTGTGCCTCTGGACATAGTCCAATCAGCGTCATGTCACGTTCTGTGGAGTACCGCCTCTTTTTGGGCGATTTCACTCTGGCTGAGAATCGCCCAGAGTGTTCCCATAGACTTACATTCAAAGATGTTTTTTTTCGAACGGCGGGCTGCTCCAATGCATTCTCTATGGCTTCCGGGAGGGCTCGCACTAACGTGCTTACGTCATCATACGTAAGCACGTTTCAGTCAACAATATTATTTGTCGCCACCTAGTGGAATTTCGATTTAAAGCTTTCGTGACTGAAGGGATTCATCTTCTTGGTTCTTTCGGTAAAGTCACGTCGAAGGGAAGTAATAAAATAATAAAAATAAAACATAATAAAATAAATCTCATGACGTTTCGGCCACAACTCAAGTAGCCGTCCTCAGGTGAAAACCAGGTTTGTCGAGGCGACAGCGTCTGAATGAAACAGCACACGTGCTTGGAGCATGTATATAAGCTGGGTTGGAAGGGGGGAAGAAATGGGGAGCCTTAACAAAATAATTTGCATATCAAGAGGAATTTAGCATATTTATGGGAAATGCAGGTATGTGATTAGTACTGCATATGCCCGTGCATTATGCAGGATTAGCAGCATCAAAAGGAGGGGATATGGGAAATTCAGGTATGTGATATGGGAAATGCAGGTATGTGAATAGTACTATTTATGCCCGTGCATTATGCAGGATTAGCAGCATCAAAGGTAGGGGATAAGGGTAGCATTAATGAAGGGAAGGAGTGTTAATAGTATGTAGCTGCAGTAACTAAAACCACCACGTAAACAACTAAAGTATAAACTACATATTATCATCAGTATACTAAATATACTCTACAATACGCTGAGTTACTAACAGTAAGTAATACATTACAATTCTACGTCGTAAAAAATATATAATATGCTTCCATCTAAACTTTATTCTCTTACATCACACGAGTCTACACCCTACTATATACTGCCATAGACAAACCCAACATTAAATTATATACTGTATTGCACACCAAAGAAAGGTTCTTCTTTTCCGACCACCTTCTAAGTGCCACGCTGCTACAAGGAGAGATGTTTCAACAGCATGGCCATACATTCCCTGTTGAGGCTCTGAACATCACTGTCAGGGCATACCCTATGTTAAATAAGGCGAAGCTGAAGACTGAACTGTCTGTCATTTATGAGAGTCCAGAATTCAAGGGCTGCTGTGGTGCACTAGCGCTGTACCAGGTTTTGCTGAAGTACAACCTCCAGGATACTTTTTCAGAGACTGTTGCTCTGTTGAACATCCTCATAACCACTCCCATGACAACTGCTGAAGCTGAGAGGTGTTTCTCAACCTTAAAGAGAATCAAGACATTCCTGAGAAATGTAATGGGACAGGAACGTCTGAATGCACTGGCTATGCTTTCCATGGAGAGGGAACTAGTCAGGAACATGCCTGCTTTCAATGAGAGAGTAATTGATCACGTTGCTACTTTGAAGGAGAGAAGAGCAAAATTTCAGTATAAGTAAGCAGTGTATTAAGCGAGTAATGTGATGTAAGCAGTGTAATAATAGTGAGTATAGAAACAAACAAGGAGATGTATTGTAATAGTCACTTTATTTTTCATTAATATTAAAGTAGTGAAGTTGCATTTACATGCTTAAGCTGTTAATTTATCCATTGCATGGGTGGACCTTATCCTTATCAATTATCCAAACATTTGCCCCCCCCCCCCCCCCTGAGAGATTTTGCAGGAGCCGCCACTGGAGAAGAACGAATTCAAAGTCAACGTGACCTCATGCTCCATTGCGTATATTTGAGAGCAGTGCTCACCTCCTCTTTGCGGCCCACAGCCAGTGGTGGTAATTCCACGTGCCCACGACAGGGGTGTGTCTACATCGATAGGACAATAACTGCGACCACCCCCATAGAGTGGCATTCATCAACAGTTGTCTATTGTAGGGGGCCGCACGTGACGGGGGCCGCGCTGAAGGCCATCAGGGGCCGCCAGTGGGCCCGCGGGCCTTGCAATGAAGAACGCTGCCACGGAGGGATGATGAGCCGGGCCAAGCCACAACGCGGGATTTGAAGTCACAACCTTCCGATTGCGAGCGGCTCACTCCACCACCGAGCCACGATGCCCAACACCAATAAATACCCTCAAGCGCTGTGCTGTGCGTGCGGTGTGAAAAGACCCCGTGATTCATCACGCTTTTGAGAAACCATGTGAGTGGTTGTGTGTTTAGCGGTAGTGTAACGGTTAGCGCGCTGCGCTACGAACCAGGCGAACCGAGTTCTATCCACGCTCACGGTCAACACTGGCTGACGATTATCCGAACCAGTCCTGGGCGTCCCCTAGGTCGACTCAGCCTCAAATGTGTAAAAACATCGCCACTGGGGAGACAATGGCGTACGGGCGTGGTGCTGGCCACCCACCCCCCTCGTGTGCCGTTCTGGCCTCCATAGGTGCTCGCTAACAGCACTTGCGCCAACAGTTTGCTAAGGCTATACGAGGGATCTTTGTCCTTTCGCGAATACATAGGAAGCACTGAACGGCACAAACAATGGTGGTTTGGCCAGCACCGCACCCAGTGCTGAGGTTTACACACCGCACTAGCTACTTATTTACGACTGAGTCGAGTCACCGCTGCACCACAGTCTGTTAAAAGGCTACATGGAGCATCTTTGCAGGGTTTACACACACATATATAGGTGTAGCGGTTGCGGAGTTGGAAGCGCACTGCACTACAAATGTAGCCACTTGGAGTTGATCCCCGGCCACGGCCAACATCAGTGGCAAATATCTGAGCCGGTCCTGGGCCTCCCCTAGGTCAACTCGGCGTGGAGCGGTGTGTAAACAACCGTGCCAGGCGCTCCGCTAACAGCCGTAGGGTGCCTCGCAAACAGACAGCCCTGAACCCAAGAGCCTCTTGCGTCGGGGAGAGAGAGAGAGAGAGGGGTTGGTGAGATCTTCGTCTCAATAGATGGAGGACTCTGTGTGTGGAAACATGACTGAGGCTTGACGAATCAATGGAGCCCAAGTGAATGGCTCGGGTTTGTGCTCTCACCTCCATTTATCCGGCGGCGCTCTCCCGCGCGCGAGCGTTGCTCCTGGGGGAGGGAGCGAGCGATAACGGAGAGCGCTCAAAGGCTCCCGGGCATATCGAGCGGCAACAAAACCCACAAGGCTGAGGGGCACCGTCACCTCGACATTCGTAGAGGGGGGCAGTGGGGGGGGGTCCTTCCTGTAGCAGACCTCTGTGTGCATGCGAAGGCTATTTACGTTATTCGAGCTCGATAAAGCCAAGCAAATAAATATATATATAACGTGGCATAATCACTAAATTGCTCTATTTCTGTTCAGCTTTTCCCATAGAAATGCTAACATAATAGCAACAACAACAAATGTGTTTTTAGCCTGCACATGGCGAAACACGCCGTGTGTGTGCGCGCGTGCGCGACTCTCTCTCTCTCTCTCGCTCCCTCCCACGTGGCATTTGACAATCAGCGGCGCGAGTTCTACAACCGCGCGCGCGCGTCCGTCCGTCGAGTTCGGGAGACACTTCGCCGGGCGCGTGAGGTCGCCAAATGGATTCCATTTAGAGGCTCCCGCAGAAAAGAAAAAAAGGGGCGCGCGTAGCGAGGCGATCGGCGGGGCGCGACGCGCGTGATGGATCGTAGCGCGCGCCTCGCGGCAGCCGCAATTAGGCGGCTCCTTAATTCCCCGCTAATGGAGGAAGTCGCCGCCACCTCTCACGCGTGTTGCAACCTCGGCGGTTTAAAGTGCAGCCCGCGAGGGATGGCGTAAACGTCGCCTTGACCATTGCACGCCCGCCACTACAGCGCTGTTCGCCGCTTGTTTTAGAAGTTCGCGGTTCGAATCCAGCGCCCACCACCCCTCCCCCCCTGTTATTATCGCAGTGGTGTGTGTGTGAACCGTAACCATGCCACTGGCCGTCTGCTTCACTCACGCTGGACGTTTGAGATCCCATGGGGTCGTTCGCAAGAGCCGGGGGCCCGTTGCGTGCCGGCGTTGGGATCCAAATTTGCCAAATTAGAAAATGGCACGGAAAATGACTCAATTTGGATTGTTCACCGCAGCAAAAATCACCACTTGCTTGGCAGACGAATGCCCGAGATCACTCTTGCAAATGCGACTGTCATGGACTCTGAAGGCCTAATCTGGGTAGACAAAATAAACTTGATCCTCAAACTACCCACTGCTGGATCAACGTCAACCCGAAGCTTGCGATGTTCCCGCATACGATTTTACTACCCGGCCTGGTGACGCCCGTATATTTGGAGTTTACATGTTCTCCCTGTGGTCGCGTGGATTTTTTCCGAGTCCTCCGGGATTTTCTCTCCACATTTAGCAGCATGCGTTGGGAGTATTTGGCTCCTATAATTTTCCACACGATAAAGCCACTCATTTGAGCTTTCGTTTGTGGCCAGGTCGCTTCTGAAAAATAGCTCATAACTCAGTGGGCTCTACCTGGTACAACAAATCGTTTAGGTTTAATTTAATCAATCCTTCTCTGTGGTGGACGTTTCTCGACTGTTGGAAATTTCTTCCTTCAGTTGACATGACCTGCCCGCCAAGTCCACTGAATAATTTCTGGACATTATCCGATCCATGCGTTCCACCTTCATGCATGTCAGTGCCATTCCAAAACACGCGTCTCTAAATTCTTCTGTATCTTGTCATTTTGTTCCATTTTCTTTGCCCGTGTTTGTCAGAGCAGGTAATATGCACCCTCGTAATCTGTGAGCCCCGAGGAAATTGACAGAACAGAGATGCTGCTGCCGCTTTTGCAGACAGTGCAGCGACTGTTATTTACGGTCAAGCGCAGTTGGTCAAAGCCTCGTGTCATTTTCGAGCAGAGGATTACTGCTGAGCCAAAACAACACATTCAGGGCCTTTAGTTCAAATGTATTTCACAAGGTCAGCCATTCGTCCTTCACTCCGTCCAAATGCAAACAATACATACGTTAAACTAAATCCTCAACACGTTGTATAACATTTGAGTCAACAACAGCAGCAGCGTGGTGAAATATTGCAATAAAATTGTCTGGCTAAAAAGGAGCCCGATGATTTCATGGCAACGTAATGCACGCGGTTATTGCATTCGCATCTCAAATGTTCAAACAAAAGGTACAAATTTAGCAAGCTACAGAAATTGAAAAGCATAAATGCAAACGTCTATGATTTTGTCCGCGCACACACTTTTTCACGGGTATGCTTTCTAGCAAATATAAAAAAAAACTATTATTCCTGGAGGCTTTGGCTCACTTTTTTAGTTGTTGCTGGGATGTGCTTGGTACTGCGTCGGTGATGTATTACCTTGCCAGTGCACGGGTCATCACTTAATTGCTTAGCGATGCTTGTCGCTCAATTGCTCCTCTGCAGAGTACTCATACGAATGGCGTAAAGCGTTGCCGTAATGCATCGCTGAACTGTTCGCTTATACCGCCAATCGTGCCTCGGTTAAGTGGCACTCACCGCGCAATTAGATGCACTTTATGTGCTACGTATCGTTAAACGAAGAGCACTGCCTTTTCCACATTTTCACGGCGTTTAATTTTCGGGTGCCGAAGAGAGGTACGGGGGTAAGAGCGGGGCCCCGCCAATGTCTTCGTGCTCACGCCACCGCTGGCTGAAGGCTCTCCAATGAGAAGGGATCTCTGGAGGGCCCTCTCTTAGAGGGTAGTTGGCCTCCTCTTGCATGCTGAGCGGACGGTCTTGAAAAGGGTGGGAATACAGTACCTTTACGTTACCCCAATGCACGTGACCTGCGATCGACTGTGGTGAGTGAAGCCAATGTGTGTACTGCTGCGTGGACGGAGGCAGCGGTTGTGGCGGGGGTCGTGGGAGGTGTTAAGAAACTCGCACCGCGGGATAAAATTTGAACCGGTGACCTCTGGATTCGCACGTCCAGTGAACTTATAATTACGCGGCTGCAACATTGCCACGGTCAAGAGGCTGACATTTCCCTTGCTTTTAGGGCTTTTTTAAAAATCAAGTAATCGATACCACAAATCTAGGTCATTTGTAGCATTCCACAGCAATATATCGTAATCTGTCACGCGGTGTATTGACAGGTGTATAATTATGTCGATATGTTTCAAAGCTGCCAATAATTTAATGCTGTATAGATGTAAGCACACTACACAATCAATTGCACGAAACAATTCTATTTTACGTGCATTCGCTCTGGAGGGGTGCATTGATATAGTGGTTTACACAATCCACTATGATTTCATAAATCTGAGTTGGATTCCCAGCTTACATCAGTGGTGAGTGACACCTGGACCCCCTCCCGCCTCCACCCTTCACCAACCTGCATTGACCAGCGTGGTGAAGTATGGTCAAACAGTCACGTGAAACAGAATCGAGAAGTCTGCCTCAGCAGCAGACCATGCTTTCCCACCTGATGATGGACGCTTGTGTTGCGCCCAAAACGTCGTGATTTGTTTTATTTTATACCCACGTGACTTTACCGAAAGAACGAAAGAGTATGGATTCCTGCAGTCACGAAAGCTTCAAATCAAGATAGAATCAGAATCTTTTGCCTCGAGGAACCCGATGAGCTACGATTCGTTTTTTCACAAATGTCCATGACGTTGGATCGACAAAGCTCTATAACATTAAATTAAAGATGTATTTCATACTAAAATATCCATACATATGATTAACTTCTTTATATGTATAACACACGAATTAAAAAAAATCAACACAAAATGTCGTTGCACTTTAACTATTGCGTTTAGACCTCGTAAAATATTTCAATCAGCAGCGTCGAACGAGAGAGCATCCATCACATTATCGCGGCTGTAAGCTCATTACTCCGTCTGATTTACTATTGACACGGACCTCACAAGTCAC